CCCCAAAGCGGAGGTGCTGTCAATATGCCCGACACGCTGCCCCTGTGGCAGCTCATTCCCCTGCAGCAAATAAATCTGCCTTTGCCGCCGAGATGTTCATCTCTTCTAAGAATACTAAATTCTGTTGATAGCCACTGAGCTGACACCCTCTAAACTGCTGAAGGGGCAGTTTCTGGATGATAAATCAAGGTGCTGATTTTCTCTGCCACATGCGTGGGCAAGACAGGGGAGGAAAGAGAAAGCAGAATTTATTGTGTTTCATACCCTGTGCTTCGACTTGGACCCAAGAAAACTGCCGGTCATCGGTTTTGCCTCTCCCCTAGCATTAAGCCTCAAGAGGCTTGTCCCACCACCCGGTCGTCACCCCACGTGGGGAGGCAGCAGGCAGGAGCTGCCCACAGATGTCCAAGGAGCTGAGCCAAGGCACGTCCCCACCGCCTGGGAACAGCCTGCTAATTTAATTAACCGTGGAGCTTGTGTTCATCAGTTGCACGGGGCTCTGTGTGCACATCGGGCTTGAGGTGGTCTTCTCTCTCCTTGCATTCTGAACGCAGCCACAGCCCCGTTTTGGAGGCCGATGGAGATTTCTGGCCCTGCTCTCCCGGTGCCCGCATGCCCCCGGGATCCCAGCCCTGCTCCTGCCCTGCCAGAGGTAGCAGGGTCCTGCCTGGAGCCACGGGCTGAGCATACCTGATAGTTACAGCACAAGAAATGAGTTAACCTTTAACAAAAGCAAACTGCAACATTTAAAGTAGCCTGGAGAACGTTTGCAAATTACTGCAATTATTTCATCCCCTTTAGCAAATTACTGCAATTATTTCATCCCCTTTTCTGTGCTATATGGTCTCAAGCCGATGCCGAGGAACCGTCTGCATCCCTGCAGCAGGGACAGAGCCCACTTTGCGGATCCATTTTCCAGCCGGAGGCCTGCCACCCCTCACATGAGACCCGTGATGTTTTTACCACCCCACAGATGCAGGCGCTGAGCACAAGGCAGCCTTTTGTCCAGGCCTGCCAGATCACAGGGACCACACATTTCACTAGGGACCCGGCGTTTTCATTCCTCACATATCTTGCAGCTGATGTCAGGGTGGCATGGGGGTGGCTGCAGGGGCCTTCCTGCTCCGGGGGGGGGGAGCCGTGTCTCCATGTGCACCCCCCCCAGATTTCTGGATATTGCCTTCCAACCCTGGTGCCCCCAGGGAAGCATCGCTCCCATGCCTTGGCAGCTCACAAGCAGCGAGAGGAACAATTTGGGATCATCCGGTTTTTAGCAAGGAGAGGGGAAGCCGCTGGCTGTTTCTTTTGTGTGTTGTATCCGGCACGGGTATTGACACCAAACCATGTGCAGAAGGTGGCTGGCTTGGGGTGAGAGGGTCTCGCATGGCTCTGCCCGGGTCCAGTGCCAGTGAGGTCGGCCGGGGCACAGAGGAGAGCTGGGGGCAAAGCGGGGACAGACCCGGCCCCAGGGGGGCCAGGGGCTCTGCTGCCCCAGGGGTCCATGCCGCAGCACAGCCCCGGCACGGTCGTGCGCTGTGTGGTCGTACAGTTGCTTCAAAACCAGCTGGAGCCTGCCGGCTGTGGAGGAGGTCTCCAGGCATGGGGCATAGAATGAGAATGGTTTGGGTTGGAAGGGACCTTTAAAGGTCATCCAGTCCAACCCCCCCCCGCAATGAGCAGGGACATCTTCAAGTAGATCAGGTTGCTCAGAGCCCCGTCCGACCTGATCTTCAGTGTTTCCAGGTATCCAGGGTCCCCTTCTCCCCAGGATGGACCTTGGGTGGAGCTGGCTGTCGTTCCTCTGGCTCCTCCCCTTTGGCACCACCAGTCCACCTTCCCATCCCCATTCTGCCACCAAAGCACTCCCCAACCAGCATCGTGCTCAGGCAATCCTGGCATCCCTGGGGACACCTGACGGGCTCACATGCATGTGGATTGGGGGACGACGTCTGGGTGGCAGAGAGCTTTCTCTAAAGGTTATCAGCGAACTAGAGGGAAAAACAGAGAATCACTGGAAGTCATCCTGTTTTCAGTGCCAGTATGCATGCTGATGTCTATGCAGAGTGACATGACCATGGAAGTGCTTCAGATTAGGCTGTCAAGTCCCTGCTCCCCTCCTTGCAGCAAAAGAAAGGGACACACTAGAAATGGCCATAAGGAGAGTGGAAAAATCACATTCAGCCGAGTTTCTCGTCATTCTTTCCCTTCATAGCTAATCAGCCCCTAGATGCTGAGCCCATAACAACCATTAGATTAATTTCTTTCCTTGCTGTGACTTAATTGTCTCCATTTGTATTGTACAGCGCTCGCACTGGGGGATGTATTTTTGTTTGCCTATATTTAGTTTGAGCTCTACCATGATATTGAAATACATAAATTAAGGCTGGCTCTTGGGTGCTTTGTGGCACTGAGATGCTGCAGATGATTTTTCTATCGGTTTTGTGCCATCCGGTATTTTCACAGTGTGATACTGGGCGCTGGGAGATGCCAAGGGCAGCATCAAACGGTCCATGGTCCCTCGGGGTCTGTGTGAGCAAAGGAGCTGCTCCGGGGGGTGACCCTGGGGGAGCTGCTCCTCCTGGGGAGACGGTTTGGGGGGAAAAGAGGAAATATGAGGCAAAGAAAAGAAAATAAACATTCTGGGGGTGTACACATTAACCAGCCTGGGCTGCAGGGATGGGAATGTGAAGGAAAGGGGGACGCGGAGGGAGGCAGGGGGAAAGGCAGGAAAGTCCAGGCTTCCTCACTGCAGAGCTGCAGCATGCCCCCCCAAAATAATGTGCCCTGTCCCTGAATTGCACTATGGTGAGCTTGATATCCCAAGGGATCCCACAGGCAGGAGGAGGCAGGCGCTTCCCAAAGCCACCCTGATCCTTAGCAGAAAATCTCCCACATTTATTATGTTGAAGCCAGAAAGTTCCCTTCCCTCTGGGAATCAGCAAGAGTCAGAGTGAAATTCCTCTCTGCAAGCATGGCTCCAGAGCTGGTGGGAAAAAAAACTCAGCAAAAATTGTCACAAAATGGTATTATGGCTCTTTTTGTTTGCAGCTGGGGCCTGGCAGCGATGCAATGAGTGCTCACGCTGGCACTGGGTGCTCAGAACGCAGCACCCAGGAATGCAAACTGGGGCGATTCCCGGAAAATTAAAAAAACCACCCTGCCATGTCTGTGCAGCAAGCTGGGGCCTGGGACCTCCTGGGGGGGTGGGGTAGGGGGTGTCACTGATCTGAAGAAATACCTCAGAAATGACTGATTTAATGATGTGCACAAATGTGCAGTCACCACGGGCTGAGGGCTTTTCTTCCCCACCCCTTTGCTTTTAGGGGTGGGTCTGTCTGTCACAGCATCCCTGCTGCTTCGCGCCAGGAGAGCACTGTGGCCATGGGGACAGGCATGGGAGCAAACACAGCTAAAGGTGTAACTCGAGTTTATTTATACATAAAGGAGGTAACTGAATTTTGAGTTAAAAAAAAGGCAGATAAACGTTTGAGATGATGAATGCTTCTGACTGAAAACATGAAGAAAGGAAAGAAACGGAGCAGACAGCAAATTTCAGCGGAAAACAGAGGGCAGGGTCTGTGCTCCCCTCCCTGCAAGGCAGCAGGAGCGTTACCTGCAGGAGGACGGGGACTTGGCAATGGCTTTGCCGTGTATTGCAAATACAAGGGAAGAGAAAAAGGCAGCTCAAAAGAGACTTCATCATGACATGAATTGACTTACAAGCAACCAAAGTAGTCCAGGATTAACTTTTGCTTAGTAACAAAAGAAGAAAAGTACTTAGCTAACTAGGGAGATTTGGACTTACGGTGGTGTACTACGCACCAGCTCAAACGGTGATAGCGTCCAGGTCCACCAAAGCCTACGGAGATGCAGCACAGCCTCATGAATTGGCACTTCCCGGTACGTAGCAACTTAATGACAGTGTAAAGATGTTTGGAAAAGTAGAGCCTGAGCCCTCCCTCTCTCTTTGTCAGCAGCAGAGGGATTTAAGAAAAAAAAAACCCTGCCCTTTGTACGATTTGAGGTGATGATGCTGGACCGACCCTGCGGGTGCCCTGTGGCCCGAGAGGCCCTGGCACCGGCTGACTCCAGCAGCTAAATCACAGATGGCATGGCTTTACACGGGAGTAGTTTAGACATCTGAACACAAGGGAAAGTGGAGAGCAGACTTTTGCCCAAAAGACATCTGTCAGCAGTCCCTCCACAAAACCCTTGGACAACATTAACACGTCCTGGGATGAGAATCTGTTGTGATCTTCCCGTGCTGGGCTCAGGATAACCTGATCCGCCCTGCCGTGCCTGAGCATCGCATGCGCTGATGCACAGTGCGTGTCAATGGCCTACACTTCCCCATTAGCTCAAACATAATTAGAAAAAATAAGAGCCATATGGTAATTCTGAATACAGGCAAAACAATGTCTGTGTGTTTGGGTCTGGTATACTCAAATATTTTGCTAGAGCATTAATTTTTAATTCTTACATCAGACCCACATAAGCAAACATAAATAGGATTTTATACTTTACATAATCCATCCAGCTTGTGTTTGTTGTTACATATACTGAATAATCACTGCCTGCCACTACATACAGAAGAACTAATAATAAATATTAGGACACAAACTTACAAGTTAAATGAGATACAGTTAAGTAGTCAATTAAAAGGACAACCATAATGTAAGGTTACAAAAGGCTAAGTATTGCTTTTCTAATGTGCTTTTCTCCTTTGTTTCAGTCACTCACCTGCCAAATCTATACCAGGAGGAGTGTATAGGAGAGCTTGGAGTCATTTGTGGCAATGTGCATAGATCAGGGGGGTGTAAGCAGGCTTAATGAGGAGAATTAGACAGGGGGAAGGTATGCAGATAACTGATGGGGTTCATCCCCCTGTATGTATGGAAATCCACGGTACTGGCCCCAGCCACCGAGGCAAGCAGTGGAGCCCTTACAAGAAGGAGCTGTTTGTTCCCCGCTCCCCGTCCCGGTTTCTCCTTCCCACTCGGTCATGCAGAGAGGGACGGGCTCTGCTCAGCGTGGGCTTGCAGGAGCGCTGCGATGTCCTCACGGGCAGCGCGCTGGGCCAGCGACAGGGCCGAATTACCGCCCTGTGGGGAGGGAGGAGGTGAAGACATTACCGCCCAAATCCCTGCACCTTGCCCCGGCCACCCCCGTAATCCACCCATCTCCATCCTCAACCACCTCCACTTCTTGGCCCCATCACTACTAAGAGGCTGTTTGCAATCTGCCCGCTGATGAGTTTTCCTCAGCTCTCCAGCGAGCGGTTGGCCAGGGCAGCTTTGCACACAGCTATTTACCCCCAAAACCTCCTTCCCTGCAGTTCCTCCCTCATTTAAAATGAGTCACCATCCTGCAAACCTCCCCATGGTGGAGGTGCAAACCTCAACCGCATAGAACACATCCCAGCTGTGCCTTCTCCTGGTCCCGGTGCTGTCCCGCAAGTCTTAGACAAAATTGTAGCTTAATCAGAAAATAGTTGCATAACTATAAACACAGCCATGTGGCCCATCACTCATGGGTTCACAGCCTGTGCAGGAGGAGAATTTCCACTGGCCAGCCATGCTGCTCCCAGCCCAGCCCCATCCCACGCATCCCCCCTGGAGGGGCATCCGTTCCTGGGGGAGACTTAATTGCTCCTAATTTCCTGCAGCTGAAGCTCTGCTGATACCACATGTTGAGGATTTCATCTTTTTTTTTAGGTTTACACCAGGTTGGGCTCTTTCCCCCAGTGCTCCTGCCCAGGCTACAGCCACCCCAGCCACCGCACAACAAGCATCAAAACCGGGGGTACTCTCCTAAAAGCGGTCCCCCGATTAGAAAGTGGACTGAAGTTGTACTTCTTCACTTAAAAAACACCACTCAGGGATTGTTGCCTGTAAAGCATGATCCTGTGTGAGCTTTCTCTGCCTGGTGGATGTGAAGTTGTGTATGGGATCGAGCGCGGCGCCAGAGCCTCACCTTGTCCGTCAGTGCGACCTGGCAGCCGGGCTGGGCCAAGAGGAGCCTGACGATGTCGGCGTTGCCTTGCCGGCAGGCCACCATCAGGGCCGTCGTCCCCTCCTCGTCCTGCAGGTTGACATCAGCCTGGCAGGAGAGGAGGGCTCGCACCATGTCGTCCCGCTCGTGGCTGACCCCCAGCATCAGGGCGGTCTGGCCTCCCTGCAACCGCACAGGGAAAGGCTGAACACCCCTTACCCACCGGCCTCCTACAGTCCTGCTCATTCAGACTGTTACAGATAATAATAATAATGAATGTTATTATTGCATATATATCATAAGATTGCATATTATTATTGCATAGTACCTACATCACAATAATTCATATTATTGCATATTGCATATTATTGCATATTACTGCATATTGTTATTAAATAACACTGGGGCTCTTCAGCAGGTGTTGCAAGAAACATCTGCTCACTTGTACCACGGCCACATGGAGGGTCTTTGCAGCAGCATGGCCAAACCACTTGGCTCCTGGCTGCCCCCAAAGGCAGCTGTCCCCTAACCCTCCTGGGCAGTTTAATTTAGGTCCAGACTAACTTTTACAGCTGTTTGGAAGAAGAGCTGGGTGAAGGGCATTGCCATCTCTTAAGACTGAAATTTGTGACTCTCTGGTGAAATGACTGCTCGCCAGCAAACCTGAGGATCCTGTACCCCAGGGTCCACCCTGCACTGCTTCTCCCTGGCGTCATTTCTAATTTTTTAGCTCAGAAAAATTGTTTTGCAAAATTTTCAGCCTTCCTTTTGCCTCTTCATTTTACCCAGCTCTTGTGCGATGCGTCCCATCACAGGGAGCTGTCGGGTGGCCATGCTGTAATTTAGCTGAGGTTGCTTTTGTTAACTTTTGGGAAACAGCAACTCCAACCTGACATCTACTGCTGAGTCTCAGCCTGGCACTGTACGTGCAGCGTAAGGAACTCAAATTATATCTGGCACCCACCCCCACCCCGAGACCTCTACAGGGGCATGATGATGCCACAGCCTGAATTGGCATTGCACAGTGATGGCCGTAAATAGGAGGCTACGAGCTCAGCAGGAGTCACTTTGCAGATGCCTTTGCCAAATAAATAGGCTGGCCGCCCATGGCCATGGTATAATCCCACACGGGGCCACACGCGGTTTTCAAAGAAACAGCAGAACTACCGGGACGCACCTGGGCAGCTTGCAGGTTAACGTCCCCCTCCTTCAGCAGCTTCATCACCACGTCCATGTCCTCACCCGTCTCGGCAGCCGCCAGCGGGGTGAGCATCACCGCCGTGTAGCCAGCGCGGTTCTGCAGGTCCAGGCGACACACGCCTGGCGGGCGATGCACCGGGCAGGGGAAGGATTCAGCCCCGTGATTAATCAGATGGAGAGAGATGAGCAAACGGGAAGTGAAGAGGGAATTATAAAACACGCAGCATCCTATATTCCCAGAAACAGGAGTTTCCACAACTATACAGGATTGAGATTTATCTGTGTTAGATATCTAGTCTTGTGAGCACAGAATTAAAGGATATTTGGTGCTATGCATTGCTACAGTTAATTACAATTGCTGAGGTCAACTCAATTAACTCCGAAGACCATAACTGACCATAACCAAAAAAAAAAAAAAAGAGGGGGATAATTAATGCCTTGGGCACATGCCAGGTGTGGAGCTGTGGCCTGGTTGCTTCAAATCCTGCAGCAAGGAAGGAGCAGAAAGACGACCGCCACCCAACGAGCGGTGTAAATCTGTCCTGGCCCCATTTCACCTCAAATAGCCTCTTTCCAACTCCACCATGAGGAATTAGCCATATCTGATGGGCTGGGGCTCAGATCCAGCCTTGCTGCAGGGACCCGGCCGCCTTGGGCACTCAGCAGCAGGAGGGGACAAACCACCACGGCTCCCTGTGCGTCTGCGGCAACAATCGGGTTATAGACGTGTATGATAATCTGCCATTTCCCTAACATTTAGCAGATTGTCTGGCCCATGAGAAAAGGCCAAAGTGCTTTTATTCTTGCTGAGCGCGCGTGCATTTTTCTCCCGTACAAGCTCAGCTGAGATTTTTCTTTCTTTGCAACATGAGCTGAAAGTTCAATAGTTTAAAATGGAGTTTTTCTGCAGTGCTGTGGGGTTTGTTACACTCTCAGAGGTCTGATCCTCCAGCTCCAAGCCATGATGTGGCATTTGCTGCTACAAGAAGCTGGGGGCACCACCCCATCCCACCTGAACTGGGGCCATAAGAGACAACCCTTGGCCACCGGGACCCTGAGCCCTCTCCAAAGTCATATTGCAAAGCCCTCAAGATGTGTTAGGGCTCTGAGGGCACTAATGACCCTTAATGTCCCTGAGGACCCTCAGCTGGGGCCCCTGCCCACACCCATGGGACCAGGGCCAAACTATGAGGGACGATGCTGGACATTAGATCAACTACGTCTCCTGGGTGGACCTTGGCTCCATGCTTGTATCTTGGATGGACCTTGGCCCTACACTTGTCTCCTGGATGGACTTTGGCCCCGTGCTTGTCTACTGCATGGCTCCCTTGCATGTAGGTTGCAGTCGGTCCCCAGCCCCACCTCTGTCCCATCTCCTTTTGCTCCTGACTGAATTCCCTGGGAGGACCCTGGACCTCATTCACTGTTTGCCACTGTTGATAGATCCCTGTTATCTGGCTCTCACGGCCACAGTCATTCCCTATGGGACCACACCCCATTGGCAAGAGTGACATAAAGTAACTTCCACACCCATGCCCAACAAAAAAGCCACGGCTGAGCAGAGTGGCTGTTGCTACCTGTGTCTAGCAGGAGCTTTGCAATCGGGAAGTTGGAGTGGGAAATGCTGTAGTGAAGAGCCGTGTTGCCATTCCTGTCGGCCAGGTTCACCACCATCGCCAGGAGCTGGGGCTGGATGGCCCCCAGTGCCTTGAGATGTGCTGCGACCGCCTCCGGGCTGGAAGACTTGCGGCTCGACACCCAGAACCACTCCTGGCAGACAGTGCTCATGGCGTGCCGCTGAAAACACCAAGGTCTCACTGTTACTCCTGGGGTAGTCATCCTGCAAACCGGTCGCTGCCCCAGCTCCTCACCCCGTGCCACTTTGTCCTGTGCTCTGGCATCGCCCAGCCGGTATTTAGCTTGTGGATTTGGGATTACTGCTATAACTTAAGGGGGAAAGGAATTTCCTGTGGTAACTTGAATGAGTAAGCAGCGAAAGCCTTCATCATCTTTTTTTTTCCCCCTTTTCCTTTCTTTTTGGCTATTCTAAAACTGACTCAGAGGTCATCTCATTCCCCCTCTCCTCACAAAGCTGTCCATGGCATGGTAGGGCAAAGCCTGCAACACGCCATCAGGATAACCTTATCCACTAAACGTAGCAGAAAGCAGGAACCACATCTTAAATAGGACTGAAAATTATCTGTACCAGATGCTTGTCGCTTGTGGTCCTGATTTCTGAGAAGTGCTTGCTGAGTAGCTGGCAGTTGGCAAGGAAATCTTCAGACGGTTTGCATCTAAAGGGAAAATAATTTTGTAAATCCATCATGAGACAGAACTTGCAGCAGGTATTGAAGCATGCAGTTTAGGTCAGAGTATGTTCAACACTTATTCAAGTGCTTAACTTTATGGACACAAGTTGTCCCATTGATTTGACACAGATTTTAGGTACAAAGTTAAGCACTTAAATAGGTGTTTAAGTCCAGAGTCCCAGATCTGTATGGTCAACTTCATCTGTTACAAGAAGCCTTAAAGTCGGGGGGGAAAAAAAATCTTATTCCTGAATCTGCAAAGAACTTTTACTTGGAAACTTTACTTGAGAGGGGAGAAATGAGACAATTCTAACCAAATATGACTCGCCCCACCTTTTCCACAGTCAAGTGTAGGGCCTGAATCAATCCCCATTGCATTCCGTAATCACTCAAAAAATATTTAGCCCTTTGAAGCCTTTTCCCATGGCTACAGAGGTCAGTGGCTGCGTTTCCACCGAGCAGATGAAGTACTGACCCCAGCCCTGTAGGAATGACTGAATGCAGTGCCGTGCATCCTGTGGCTGCAGAAACGTGATGGAAAGCATGATCACTGTCTGGTTTTCTGGTTACCTGTCAGCCTTGTGCTGAGTGCAAGGCGTTGCTTCTGCCAATGGCTCCTGCATGTCATCGTCCTCACGTCTCTCCGGCGAGGAGGTCCCTGACGAAGGCCCCTCGCTTTCACCTCTAGCTTTCGCTTGCGTGGGCTCCAAATCATCAGCTCTTCTCCCTGTCTCACTCTCCGCATCCCCATCCGATGGGCTGTCTTCGCAACTTGTGTCTTCGCTTGAAGTTGTTTCGTAGCTATTTGAGGACACCACATGTTATTCACTCCTTCCCCATCTGCAACCACAGGGCCTGACCAAGACTCATTGAAGACACACACTGACTCCAATGGGCCTTGGATGAAGCCCGGAGTGATACACAAGTTAAAAGGTTAAAGCCACAGCCAAATTTGGGGTTAGTCTTTTGTTTTTGGCTTCTTAAGCCAGCAGGAGCGTGATACAAGCAGTTAATTAGCAGCAGGCAAGGTTACTTCAGGGACTACTCGGTTGGTTTGGAGGAATGTCCATCGCACAAGCCCCAGCGTGGCCACGCAAGGGCTGCGTGCCGCCTCCCTGCTGGGAGCTGCTGGCACGCTGATGGGGAGCCGTGAGAAACACAGACCCTGTGGCAAGGTGGGACAGGCAGCATGTTGGCAACCTGGAGGACCGCTGGACAAAAAACTGTGTTTGCAGCTCCAGCATGGACCCGAGTCCACCATTCGAGCAGCCCTGCTAGAAAGACCTCTCTTCTGGTTGTCCAAAAGTATTAATAACAATAACATCTTCCATGAGACAGAACATTTCACTCTAAGGGATCCCAAAACTTTTCTCAAACTAATCAAAATTCCTCTACTCGCTACAAGTTGTACCCATTTCAGCGACTGTTGGTAGAAGAAGCTCTACGCAACACGAGTGAGTAACACCTGATGAACCCAACAGCAGCAGCCATTGAACTGGAAAGTCAGAGAAGCATATGTCAGCAGAAACCAGCATCCAAACTTGCACACATAGCTGTTTGCACAGTGAAGGGACAGTGAAATGCGTCCCGCCCTCTTCATGCCAGCACACATACTCCTCAGTAGAAGATGTGCCAGTGCTGCTCTTAGAGATGCATCTACAGCACACGTTGTTGTATCTAGTTAGTTCAAAGGCCAAAGAGTGTTAGATATTGGATACACAGGGAACTGGGTGTTGGAGCACAACCTAAAATACAGGTCTCCTACACCCTGATGTAATTCCTTATTTACTGAAATAGTCTTTTCTCAGTCCCTGAACCAACTTCTGTTGGCTGTCACTGGAGCATGGAGGCAGGTTAGTGGCAGCGTGCCCACCCAGGCAATGCTGACCTCCTCCAAAACCCACCAAAGTTAGTGGGAATCTTCCCGTGGACCCAGCTGGGTTTTGGATGAAGCCCCAAAAGATGGGTCTGCAGAAAGTGTCAGTCCCCAGGGTGTCCCTTGCTGTGCTGTAAACGCCAACATCTTTTCTACAGGGTTACTTACAGGTTATCAGTGCTGGATTAAAGAAGGGAGAAAAGAGGCTCCATTTCAAATGGCCTTTTAATCAAGAGGTTTGGAGGGGAAAAGAGGGGAAAAAAAGAATGACTTCTTCAGCGATACAGAGGACGTCACATGTTAAAAGGCAGTTTTATCTTCTGAACGGATGCTTACCCACCATTTACCCCAACAAACTGAAGATTCTTTTTGGTCCCATTGCCTCCTGCATGGAAACCATAACCTTTCTTTTTCATGATAGATTTAAGACTTGTGGTTGGAGAGATTTCTAGCAAAATACAAAATAATAGATTAATTAAGCAGATGTGCCATAATTATCAAGGATTATTCCCAACCTCTAGCAACAAAATACAAATCATAACCGTAAGCATCTTAGTTCATCTTAGGAGATGCTTTTTATGTCTTGCAAAACTACTGATGCACCTGGCCACAATCTGAACCTGCCCTGCCACCTTTAAAATACGGGTCTCAAACATCTCCAAGTGACTCGGAATATAAAGGAAGTGACTGGGCATTATATATGTGTCCTATGAATACAAGTAGGTTTTACTTTTGTAATAATGGGGTTTTTTTTTATTTTTTCAATACTAACGTATTAGAAATCTCCTATACAAATCTTCTATAATGCTACATGGATGAGTCTTTGCATTGGAGTTTGAATAGTTTCACACGTATTGCTTATAAGTAATAGGTCACTTATCTATTCGCAAGCACCCTCTTACAGTGAACAGGCAGCCTTCAGTTTTGCATTCATATCTTCATATAAGCTAAAATTATTTTAGATGAATGGCTGTGAGTGGGGACAGGTCTTTTCCCAGCCTAGTTGCTCAGTTAGCTTGAATTGGTTTTGGTTCTGGTGAACTTCATGCTGATTTGCGCCAGATGAGCATGAGTCCCATATCCTTGCAAATTGAGATGTCCAATCTAATTAAGAAAAATGGTTATTTGATTGAATAGCCACAAATCTGGCCACTTTTGGAAGCTGATCTTGCATATAACTGAGGCACAGCTTTATCAGCTCCTACATGGTTTTCTTTGCTTCTTTTATTTAAGATCACATAGCTTATGATGTAAAGAGATTTGCCTTTCTCATACATGTTTAGGAGGGGCTATTTCTGATCTGACTGATACCAGTTATACCACTGAGCTCCACTGCATCACCCCTGCTCAACACTTGAATAAATGGGAATAGATTTGGCCCGGACATGTTGAAATCTATGCCAATATTATTTACCCAACTGTTGATAGTGTGTATTCGAATTCTTCTTATCTGCGGGCCCTTGCGTAGAGTAAGCAGACAGCAACGAGTTTAAGGAATTAACCAATTGGTTCTGAATGGAGCTGAGCTTGGAGGCCGGCTGTTTAATAGCGCTCGCTAACTCGGGGTAGCCATGCTCCAAACACAGCCACTGCTCCTGCAAAAGCTCCTGGATTTTTTTTACGTATTGGCTGATGGGGTCAACAGCAGGGAGATCCTCGTGGACAGGGGCACCTTCCTCTTCCAGCCCATCTTGAGGTTTATCTTCGCCAAAGCCTGCCTTGTTTTCTCCTGTGTTTGAGCCAATTCTTGTTCCTTGATAGCTTCCTGCAGTCACCTTGTGAGCAGCAAGACTCTGGGTATCGTAGTTATTCCTGTGATTTTGATTGTCATCGCTGAGGTGCTCATCAATCTTCAATTGGGTGAAGCACAGTGCATGAAGGCCAGCCTCGATGTTGGCTTCACCAAAATTTCTGGGTCCCTCTCCACTGACACCAGTGCAAGTATCTGCCAGTCCCTGATCACTCCAAGCACCCCACTCCATCGCCTGCACGTTCATGTTGTCTGCTCTGTGGACACTGCATCCTATGGATTTGGTGGAGACTGGGATATTTACGTTGATGCCTTTATCATGGGCTTTCTTGGCCCCAGTTACCTGCGAGAGGTCGGTGTTCACTGCAGCATCGTAGCACTGCAAAGCCCCACTGCTCTGCCTGGACAGTGGCTTGGCCTCTTTGGTGTTTTCCCGGCACAGCTTCTCTTCCAGCTGAGCTTTGGAGCTGGCCAGTAACTTAATGCTTTTCTCCTTCTCCTTGATCTCATGATCCTGCTGCTCCAGCACTGCTCTGATCTGCTCGAGCTCTTCTTTCTTCTTGCTCAGCTGCTCCTCCAGAGCAGCAATCTGCTGCTTCAGCGCAGCGACCCCGCCGGGCTCTCCTGCATCACCAGGCTGAGGACCACAGCTCTCCTGGTTCTCTCCAGCCCGGACGTCCCCCTCCTCAGCTTTCTTCAGCCCATTTGGAGCAATTGCACTTACGCTTAACTCCCTTTCCCCAGGGTTCGTGTTCTCCTCTGTGAGCTGGAGGGCACCTGGTGAAGTTGGTTCACCCCTGGCCAAGGTGGAACGACTGCTGGCGTCGGCAGCATCACCCTCCTCACCTCCACTCTCCATCACCACCTGCAGCTGCGGTGCCGTGGGATGCTGGCTCTGCCACAGGGGCTGCATCTGCACCAGCCCCGGGCTGCCTCCACCCGGATGCTCCTTCTGCCCCAAGGAGACATCTTGCTCCAAGCTCATCTCCCGGGGGAGATTTAACATGATGCCGTCGGAGCCAGGCGAACGCGGCACGGTGTGAAACGTGCTTTCAGAGCCACTCGCGTCGTGGCAGGGCTGGGGAGGTGGCCAGAGG